TTCCAAAGATCCCAAAGGGTATTTTATAAAGTAAATATCTCACTGCAAAAACTTCTCATCAGACACCAGATTTAAATACAAAAAAAATTTAGCTCAGAATAACATCTGTGAACCAGTAAGATCCCATCTACACTCACAATTTAATGCAGTTTCAAAATGGCAGTGAAGAAAGTGGTTTTGCTGTGCAGATGATTACACAGGAAATCTTGGAACCAGCATGAGGTCCAGATAGTGATTACACAAACTACAGATAAAGGGCTTATTTCATGTGCTTTTGTGGGAGTTTGTTGTCTGGCCATGGCAGCTTGAAGCTAGTTTTGAACTGCATTAAATGGTCGGTGTAGTTGGGGCTTCAGATGATGAAAGGTTTTTTTTTTAGGTCAGTTAGCAAAGCATATATCCAGCACAGCAAAACAGAACAATGAAAGCAAACTAGAAGCAGTAATGTTAAAACTATGTCTATATTGTTTAGCTGAAAGGTATAGCTGAAACAGATCTGCTCACTAAGATTGTTATATGTGAAAAATTCAGAATGCCTGATGTGTGGTAGAAGTCATATGAAATCAAGTGATCTTTCAAAATGACCTCGAACCAATTGTTTCTAGATAGTGAGATGTTTTCTCACGGAAATCTGTCTTCATTCCTTTACTGACCTCCATCATATTCTGACAATCAGGACAACAGTGATGTTTTAAATAAGCCATAAATCTCCAGAGTGAGCTAACTTCTCATTCATTTTATTCAACGGTACTATGTTGATTTACATGACTTTGGCACGGTGACAACACTTGCTCAGTATTAAGAACTGGAGGCTGGAAATCATGAATATTTCATTCTGGTACCCACCCTGAGGTCTCCTCCTTCTAGACTCATGACTTGTTTCATTAGCTGCTGAGCCTGGATTAAGTAAGCAATAAAATGAATTACCCTTTCTAATCCACTGACACCAATGCAGTGCAATCATTCCAAAATCATTCCATTTCCATACATTTGTGCCTGTAACAGGTTTGTATAAGTAGATGCTTGGATGTGTTATTCTGAGGAACAACCTTGCTATGGCAAACATAACGACTTGAAATGGCACAATAAGAATGACCCAGAGAGAAAGAGGTAGAGGAATGAGATTTTCCAGCTTCTTGGCAGGGGGTTGGATTGGATGGCCCACAAGGTCTCTAGATTCCATGATTCTATGAGGTGTTCTTGAGTTGACTTCCTATCCTTGTTCAAAAGTAAGCCATAAACATGAGACAGAACTATAGTGATTAATGTTATTTTTAAAGAGACATTGACCAATCATTTACAATCATTATGGGCAAAACATGCGTGGCCTAAGGTTCTTTTTTGCGTTTCCAAAGATCCCTCCAGTTCTCATCCCAAATTTTGATTTTAAAAATAATCTTGAAATCTCTCAAACTCTAAAGGGGGTGGAAGATGTTTGCATTCTTTTTTTAAAAAAACCATTTGTTTTAACTTAAAATCTAATGGGGGGAGATGAGCTTAGAAATGCAACCCTCGCCCCCAGCTACTCACAGTTGTCTACTGAATGCCTTAATAGACTGACCTTCACAAAAGGATTCAGAATCGCCTTTGTGACTACCTGGGAAGAATGAATGTCTAACATTAAGTGTCAAGGACTACAATCTATCTCATCAGATGCTGAACCTGATGACATAGACTGCGGCTCACAAACACATATATTAGAAATTTCTTTTTTATGCAGTCTCTAATGTGCAATTTGATTCCTTTTCGTTGTTATGTGACTTCAGCTTGTTTCCAAGTTATACTGACCCTATTGTGAGGTTTTCTAGGTCTGAGAGTGAGTGACTCACCCAATGTAACCTTCTGGCTTCCATTGCTGAGACGGGAATTGAACCCTGGTGCCCAGAATCATAGACAAAACCACTACAACATAGTGGATCTGGAATTCCTTTGTCATTATTGTTAATTTGTTCAGTCATTTCCGACTCTTCATGACTTCATGGACCAGTCCATGCCAGAGTTCCCTATTGGCTGTTGCCACCCCCAGGTCTTTCAAGGTCAAGCCAGTCCCTTAAGGATAACATCTATCCATCTTGTTCTTGGGTGGCCCCTCTTCTTTTTTCCTTCCATTTTCCCCAGCATCATTATCTTTTCAAGCTATTCTGATGCCCCTTTATATTAAAAAGATGAACAGTTTCACATTTGAGTGAGGTACTGGCAGTTAGTTTGACTCAACGAACTGAAGTTAACAGCATGATTTTTGCCATCAAGGTTATGTTGGGTGGAATTAGCTTCTCAGACAAAGATATTACTTGAGTCTAAAACGAAAACACCCTCCTCCCAAGCTTCCAATCTAGCTGAAAAGCAGAAAAAGCCCTCTATCTTGATTTTGATTAGATTTCTAACTGACTGAATGGGGATTTTTTCAAAGCACATTACAGTCTCAAATCTAGCAGGTACAGAAGACTTAACCATTTTGATTTTCAAAGCTTCCATTAAAGAGAGATCAAGAGCTGTACTTTCTAGAGTGTATTATGTCTCCAAAAATGTGTTACACCCACCTTCTCCACTTGCCTGGACTACGGTGAGAAAGGAGGACTGTGAGAACTTCATTCAATAGTCAGTTGTCAGAGAAAATTTGTGACTCCAATGCCAGGGGACCTTCACCAGGCTACCATTTCGTATACTCATTGCCACCTGCTGCTCTTTGTTCTGCTTCTCTGTTCTGTGGCCAGATACAAACATCAACTACAAAGAAATGTGATCCATGCCAACAGTGTGTGGCTGTTGGAAAGGTGAACTGGAGTGCTGAAGGAAGGGAGCCACAGAAGCTTTCATTTAGAACTACTCGTGGATACAAACAACAGCATGGTCCAACCAGAGACATGGGACGAATAGGTAATCACTTCTCCATAGCGTGTGGAAGTGGGAAATTAAAGGTTATGTGCCTATAATACTGGGGGAAAGGAAAACAGAGACCATAGTACAGGTGGACTGATTCACTCAAGAAAGCCACAGGCTTGAGTTTGGAAGACTGCAGCAGAACATTTGATGACTGGGGCTCTTGGAGATCTGTCACTCATAGTGTCACCATAAATCAAAGTCAACTTGATGGTGTACAAGGACAACAAATGAATGTATGACCCTTTCCTTCTCAGAAAGAACAGCTTTTGCTAGACAACATCCCATGCAGAAATGTGTGCATAACAAGAATGTAGAAGCCAAACAACCCCAGGCAGCTACTCAACCTGTGGCGGAAGGGGTGCTCCTCTTGATTCTTGCAGTGCTTATAATGTAAGCTTTAGCTGGACTTTCTCATTTGTGACTCTGCCATATAGAATGCAAAGTAGCTGTACTTTTCAAAAATAAAAGCACAAGATGCACCTGGAGTCCCTTTAATCTGGAAAGAAAGAGCTCCAGAGTAGGGATGTAAAATGTTTCCTTATTTCATTTTCCTATATAAAAATGAAAGATGGACATCCAGGTGTAGCTAATGTGTGTCATGTAGCAAAATATAGCAGCTCCATTAAAAACAATTCCACATTGCAGTGATAGTTTTATTAGGCTTTCTTTTACTGATACTCAATTTAAAATTGTAGTGTAGGGAGGTTTGTTAAGCAGAAGCATCAACATCCCAAGAAAGATGCATCTCTGTTGCATTCTGTCGACATTTCTTCCCCTAAAATGAATATGAACAGCAAAGCCTGGTGAAAAATCTTGCTAGCTTTGAATGTTCATGTAGTATATTTAAACCTTTTAGTTGGCCTAAAAACATAACACTGCAATGTTTGTCTTCAGTTTGTTATATGCAAATAGAAATATCTCAAAAGTTTTCTTCTCCCCGGGTTAGATTACAAGAATTTTTGTGCAATGTTTAATTATTTTTAGTATTTGTGGACTTTAAAAGCTCTTGTGTTCATATAAAGAATTGTGCTGCAGGCAAATTCTTACTTTATAGCTGATGCACACACAGTTTTCTTCCCACTCACTAGCCTACATGCTGGACCAACAGAATCCTAGCTTGTGCTGACAATCATTGAGAACAGAGTGAGGCAGGTCACATATTCATTAATTTTGGTGCTCTTAAGTCTGTTTGAGAATTCAACCCACAAGCAGGGGGAAGTGGGGAAAAGCAGAGGGAACTGTCTTACCCTGTTCCCTGCCATCTTCTGCATTGATGTCCATCTTTCCACTGCTACCTCCTGCTTTTGACCATTGAGTTGGGTAACATCCAATTCCTGGAGATGGATTTAGGGCTCCATTTCCATGCACTGTGGAAATTGACTCCCACAGAGTTCCACCATTAGTGCCCTTACATCATGTGATGGCCTCCGTGGGACCTCTGTTTTGGAAGCACATGGAAATGGAGCCATAATCAAGCATCACATATCTCCTTGAAATGTAAATCCCCATCATGGAATTGGAAACTAGGTTTTAGTTACCTGCCAAAGCCTAATACTTTCCTGATTTATTTCCCATGTCAGCAGCGACTTGAGAAACTGCAAGTCACTTCTGGTGTTCTGGATAACAATGTCTCTGACTGTTGACCATGTTGGCTATGGGTGATGGGAACTATAGTCACAAACAACTGGAGAGTAAGGAGAGGGCAGGAATAAAAACTGACCAAAAGGAGGTGAACAGCATAAGCAGCCAAATCATCACTTGTAGGCACCAAGAGGAAATCTCATATGCAAAGGATGAAGTAAACATCTCTTTCTTTATAAGTTATTTATCAATGAGTGCAGTTCCCCCCATTTTGTTGCTGGAGAATGGGGAGCCTATCCATCATCATCAAGTAGGTGAACCTATTTATGAGAGACTTCCGAGATACCCTGGCATCAATCACCTAGGTAGGGATAAATGATTTTTATTAATTCCAAAGATAAATTAAACTATTAATCCTCTCTGTCTTACATAGGAAGCTCGAATCTATGGACATCAGATCTATAGTTTGTCTACCCTATGGGGTTGTTTTCAGTCTCAATATAAAGAGTTTTGTGGAAAAGTTTTGTGGAACTCACAGCCTTTGTAGATGTCTGTAGGTATCTGCACAGCAGCGTAAGAGTAGTTAACCTTGGTTTTAAAATGTTCATCTTCTGTGAAATCCAGCTTCAAAGAGTTAGAAGTATCCTTTTCAATTTCTTCTCCATCTGGATCATCCTGGGGAAAGAAAAGAAGACATGCCATGAAAATTCAAGTCAGTTTTCTACAGAACTAGCCAATAAAGGACAGAATGAAAGATAATATCTGATTGCTAGCAGATGCTGAGTGGGGAGGGAAAAGAGAAACCCGGTGCTCTCCCTGTAGAAGTTACAACATTTCATTGATGGTGTAGAGCAAGCCAGTTTATAACAAATTCATAAACGTTGATTTGCTGCCAGTGCTAAGTAAGGACTACTGACATCACTGTCTCATACTTCCATAGGATGCAGTTGAACGATGAGTAGGTGAATGCTTGAACAGTGCCACTCTAGCCACTTTATCTAGGCAATACTGTTCTGTAACTTGTAAAAGTAAAAGGTTTCTTTCTCCCAGTCACTGCTTATTAACAGTCACTGCAGTGCAACCTGCAACCATTGGAATGGGCAAGCCAGAAAAATGGGCAGACAGTCTTCCAAGCTCTCAAGACTGTTTCATTAAACTATATAGAACAAAATGATGGAAGGGGCTAGACAAGTTGATTTTAGAAATCTTGAGGGTATTGTCAGGAGAACCCACATCCCTTCCCCCATAAAACAAGAATCACCAGTTGGGCAAGATCGTTTTAAGGTAGAGTCAAAATGTATAAATGGGCAAGTTTTGAAGTTCTCTAGAACTGTTCATCAGACTAGTCAGAACAAAAAATGGAGGGAAGAGCTAGACTATTTTTATTACACAACACACACACACACACAATATTTATATCCTGCCTTTCTCAAAGGGGTAGAAAAGAAGCAGAGAGATCCAAATTGTTGGCTACTTGTTCTTAGAGCTATGAGGTCTTCTACAAAATTCAGCCCCAAGATTGAGATTGGAGATGGTATGAGTCACAGACATCCAGCCACTCAGACAGCAATGTCAAATGGATATTCAGATAGAGAGGCAATGGCTGGTTGCATTACTTGCCTCTTCCATTAGCCAAAACACACAGGTTCTGGACTTACACATATTTTTTTATTTCAGTGGTATAGAAATAACCACAGGAAATTAACCTTGATGAAAATGTCAATATTATTCCTAATGCAGCTTTTTACTAAGAGCCTTCGACAATACTTTAAATAATTCTTGTAACAATCCCGCAGATGGGCCCTATTGCTGGTCTTAGTGATAAAATGGAGGCTGAAACACAAGAGCATGCTTAGGGTAATTAAACATGTATTTGGTTGAGTTGGGTTTTACACTCAAGCCATTTTGCTCTTGCTACGTGTTCCTAATTTCTGTTGTCCATTGTCACCACCAGTGTATTCCTCACAATCAATGGTCCATCTTGTTCCCTATAGTGTACGTTGCTGGGAAACCAGGACATTTGTACTTCTCTGAGCCCTCCTCTAGTAAACTCCATAGCAACAGCAGGAGCAGCAGGAGTTGTAGTTGGAAAAGGTTGGGAGTAGAATAGCTGCTAAATCTCTTATAAATGCAGATTTTCTGCATCAGCCAGAGATAGCTTATAAAGCAAGCTGGCTAAGAAGATGAACTGATTCTGGGCTCACTTCTTGGTGCTATTTAACCTTGGCTCTCTGTTTTGAGAATCACAGTAAGTATTAAATCAGGCACCCCCTCCCTGAAAATCAATTAGCAGAGAAAGGCGACTATCAAAGAACAAATTAAAATGAAGTGGAGCTTAGTGCTCTGTCAATAAGCAATGCAAACAATATTTAATTATGGTAGTGAAAAAGATGGCAAACTCCTTGCAGCTGAGATGGGAAAATGTGCCTGCCTTTTCACACCCGACTTCTCTCTCTTTTCCCTGTACACATTGCCACAGCTTTGGCAGTCACTGAAAGAAGGGCTCATATGTTCTTTGTAAGGAGATTTAACCTGTTGGGAATGGTAAAAATAGTAAAGTTTTCTGAACTAAGAAATCTCGATCTTCTTAGATTGGTACTAGTGATAAGAGTCGTGATGTCAACTTTGGATCCAGGGGCCCATGCATACCACAGTTACAACACTTTATTCCACTTTAATTGCCATGGTTTTGTCTCATGGAATCTTAGAATTTGTGAGGCTCCAGAGCAGCGTTCCCCAAACTCTGCCCTTCCAGGTGGACTTTAGGTCCAAGAATCACTGCTCATGTGTCAAAGCAGCTGAGGCCTCCAGGAGTTGAAATCCACAACCCAGAAGGGCTAGAATTTGGGAAATATAGCTCTAGAGTGCTCTGGGTAAGGACTCTTAGTTCTCCTCCCTATGCATTCCCAGGTTCCACAAGATATTGGCATGTCACTTAAAGTGGAATCATAGATGTTGTCTCATAGAAAAATAAGTCCTGTGGGTATGGAGGTGAGTTAATAGCTTGTGAATAAGGGTGGTTTAGAAATGGTTTAGAACTTCTCCTGCCACTTTTCTGCAGGAAACTTTTGCCTCACTAAGCTACACTCTTTCCTGTAATAGAAGCTCTTGTTGGCACATGTTCTTGATATGTTAATTCCACCTGGGGATAATTTAGAAAAGAATTAATTATTACAAATATGCATAAGAGTTGGAAATTCATTCTTTTTTTAAAATAAAAAAACCACACCTACTCAATCCTCCAGTCTTATGATGGAGGTGGATGTGTCCTACAAGAAGTGACTTGCTACAGAGAATGTAGAAAGTGCTGCCTCACCTAGGAAGCAAATTTCTTTTCCAGGCTTTTAAGATGAAAACACTCTTAAACTAGAATTCTCACCATCCCTCAACATTAGCAATGCTCAGTTTGTGTTGCAATCCAATAACATCTGGAGGAGCAAATGACATTGCTCACCCCTGTGTTCTGGAAAATTTTAAATTTGGTGACTTCTGACAAATAAATAAGAATAGAAAGAATATTTGAAAATATGAAAATGATCAAAGGGGTTTCCACCATAATGAAACTCTGATGAGATGAACATCCTCACATTTCTGAGCAGAAAGGGTTATTTTTTGTTAAAGAAAAGAACATTTTTCTGCAGAAAATGCTGTTTTGTGTGCAAAACCCATGCACTGTTTTGCAAATAATATCCACTTAAAATGACTGTGCAAGAAATGCCTTCCATCTGGAAAAAAAATCCCATGCTTCTAATATAACATATGGCATGTAACAAAGTGGCCATTTGTTTATTTTTTTATTAGATATTTTACTGATTTGTCTCAGTGTAGCATGTAACTTGAAGTTTCACCTCTCTAGCTCTCTTTCAAAAACTGCCATTACATGATCTTCTCCCAGGCTTCTTTGTACAGATGCCGAATATAGTGAGAAGGCTTCATACTGCAGTTAGTTGTTTTGCAATTTCATATTTGAGTTCCTTCAGAGCTCTCAGATGAATGCCATCTGGTGCTGGTGACATATTACTCTTTCATTTATTTGCTCTAAAATGCTTCTTCTGACACATCAATTTATGACACTTTCTCTGCTTCTAGTATCTCCCTGATGCCATGCACAGTGAAGATTGATGCAAAGATTTCCTGTACCAGAGGTTTTCTGCTTTGGCCATAACTTTGTTTAATGTGATTTTTACTGGGAAATGGTCTAATGGCTTTAGTCATTTTCTAGCAGACTTTCTGTTTCTGATCTACTCTCAGAAGCTATGATGGGGAGAAAACAGAAGGGGCTTTGATAGCTTTTCCTGAAATGTTTTTGGCCTCTGTAGTCTCTTACTATACACTCGAAGCAAGAATGACTGAAAGGGCAAACTTTGGCATTGGTTATCTATGGATAAATCCTGCCAAAGTTTTGTCCCATACTATTTCTTGTCTAAGTGTCATGCCTCTTTTAAAATGTATTTTCCTGACATTATTAGCTTCATTTCACATGTTGATTCAAGCTAGGATTCTTTCAGACTCTTTGCAGTCCTTAACATAACTGTTAACCAATGGATCACAAGAGACATTTGCCCTGTCTGGAAACATCTTACTAATAACAAGACTAATTGTTTATACTGTACAAAGCCACTTCCCATCTGGCTCAATATTATACACTTCTTGCCTAATGCAGATGAGTTGGCGACACATGGATCCCAACTTTTCTAGATGGCTCTTTTTCACTGAAAAGAACAGATTGCATCTTCTGAAAGCCTCACTCTTTAAAAGATTGCTGCTATGTTAATATTAAAAGAAACCCTCACAATTTTCCAAAGTCAAAAGAAACCCTCAATTTTCCACCAGATTATTGGTCTCTGAACCTTGTGGATGACTGACTATGTGATATGGGCTCTCCTGTAATGATTTAGTACTGTAAAGGTCAAACAGAGGTCTTTCCTGGGTTCTACCTCTATGTCCCACCTCGTAATTTAAGATAATCCAGGGAGGCCCTGCTCTCGCTTCCATCAACATTGCAAATGCATCTGGTGGGGACGAGGGACAGGGCCTTCTCGGCCGTGCCCCCCCCCCCAGCTATGGAATGCACTCCCATATAAGATAAGATCGACCCCATCCCTTTTGGACTTTAGAAAAAAATAAAATCATGGTTTTGGGATCAGGCTTTCGGATAATAGGCATAAGGAGCACTGTACTAGACATAGACTGGAATTATGTTATGGCTGAAGATATTGTGATAGTGTTTTATGGTTTTATGTATTACTGTTTTAATGATTACTGTGTATTTAATTGCGATATTATTGTAATTGTTGGGTAGCGGCGTTGCATCGCTACTATATGTAAGCCGTCCTGAGTCCCCCTTTGGGGGTAGAGAAGAGACGGGATAGAAATACTAGAAATAAATAAATAAAAATAATAAATAAATAACTCTGTCACCAGCAGCTTTGCTCATAGGGAGTGGGTAGGCTTCATTTTCTCTAACACCTGATGTTCTATTTTTAGCAGCTCACAGTATCCATAGAAGTCTTTAAATAAGTTGATTCTCTTTCTATCAGCTTTCTTCACCATCCAGTTTTTACAACTGTGTATAGAAGTTGGAAACACAATGGCCAGGACAACCCTGACTTTGATATTCAATTATACGCAATGCACTATGCTCTTGAAATCAGTTCTTTTGTATGTGGCCAATG